TGATTTTCTATTTTATTTTATTTTCTATTTTTAAAGTAATAAACATTTTTTAGAATGATTAGAAAATAAAAATTAATATAATACAATGGGAGATATGCATTAAATTAAAAAAAGAAATTACAGAAAAAATTAGTTAATTGAGACAAAACATTTATTATCATAGAGTCAAAAAAACGCGTCAACCGTGAATTGAATTTCTTTAGATTTTTGGAACCGTCAACACATTTATAAAAATCTGTAGTTTACAACGAACCAAAAACACTTTTATACTTTTTATACATTTTTTATAATAACAAATTTATGCATCATTTAAGGAAAAATTATTAACTCAAAACAGGTTTGCTAAAAATTAATGGGGATGTTTTTAGTAGTCAGGGAACCTAAATTATAAAGAATTTAATTATATATGCTTTTTGTTTAAAAAATAACTTTTTTGAATTTTTGTCAAATATTAAAAAATTTCACAGCCTATTTAAGGAAAGTAATTATATTTTTTATATTCTTATATTCTTTGAATAAACATAAAAAAAATTTTTGTGAAGAGGAAGCAAAATTCACTATTTGATATTAATTAATATTGTTTATAACAATTTTAATAAAATATTTTTTAAACAAAAAGGACAAATATATTCTTTAAATAAATTTAAATTAAAAAGAAAATGTGAAAAAAATTCTTTAATGGAGAGGAATCAAAGCTAACTATTTGTTAATTAATATTGTTTATAACAATTAAAAGTGTAGTTTTTGTTAGGGGCGTTGTAAAAAATTCTTGGTCATTTTATAGAAATTATGATAATTTTTTTCAACTATTTCTAAAAATATCAAAATTTTATTAAAAATTATGTTTAAAAAATTAAGAAATTACTCAAAGTTTTAAATTTTTTTTTAATAACCTTCAAAATTTTGTTAAATTATTTTCGACTTTTTTTAGAAATAAATAAAAGAAAATATAAAAATTCGTTTTGTCAGACAGAATTTTTTAACAACACTTATTTTTTTAAATAGAAAAGAATGAAAAAATTTTCTTTGTTAAAAAAATAATAATATTTTGATTTTGTTAAAAAAATTGTGATAAATACATAGAAATTATGCAAAAAAAAATACTATACAAATTTTGTAAAAACAATATGATTGGAAAAATTAATTACAAAATAGAAATTTTTAAAAAAAAAGTTGATGGTGATATATAAATAGTCCAAATTAATTTAATTATTTTTTTCTTCGATTTTAAATAAAGAGAAAGAAATTATGCAATGTAAAATATAAAATAATCTTTATACACATAAAAAAATAAAAATTGTAATTATGAAATTCACAAATTCTACCTACAAATTTTTTTCATTAATTTAAAAAAGAATAAAAATTGTGATTAAAGAACATAAATTACACAAAGTTTTTTCCAAAAGAAACTAAAAATTTTTAAAAATAAACAAAAATATTATTGATAAATCAACATTACGAAAATTTCTTACCTTATTTTATAAAATAACTATCTTTTAACCTTTTTTCTTCGTAAACAATAAAAATTGAGATTGACAAATCGAAAAACTGTATAATTTCGATCTGTCAGGCAAAGTGTTTTTAAAAAGAAAAAACAAAAGCATACACAAAAACTAACTTCAAACTGCGGACAGAATGAATGAATGAATGAATGAAATTTAATTCTTGAAGAATTATAACTTGGAAATTATTTAATGAATAATTTTATTTATGGGACATTCCACGTCAACACGGACAGAGCTCTAAACAAAAATTGCTTTGATGGATTTAAACGTTCTAGGGCTTAAAAGATTTCTACGTTCATGTACTTTAAGATGCCGATGGGCGTTTTTTGCAAAATTCCATTTCCGATGCCAATAGAACTGTCAAAAGTCAAAAGGTCCAAAAATCTCAAAATACTTTTATGAATTAAACGCAAAAAACGAGGTAAATTATTCTGTAACTCATTCTTTATCAGTTTTTAGGGTTCCCGAATATAAATCTAAAGTTTTTTTTTAAAAATCCAAAATGGCGAATTCAATATGGCGGACAAAATTCAAATTTGATCAGATTCGATTAAAACTTGTTACTCGGGGGTTTTTAGGGTCGCTGATTACGAATCTGAAGTCACTTTTTAAAAATTCAAAATGGCGGATCCAATATGGCGGAAAAAATTTTTAAATTTGATCCGATTCCCTTAAAACGTGTTACTCGGGGGCTTTTGGGGTCGCAGATTATGAATATGATGTTACTTTGTGTTTGAGACTTCAAATTCATAATCAGATACGCTAAAAACCACCGAGTAACACTTTTTAATTAAATCTGATCAAATTAAAAAATTTGATCCGACATTTTTTGAATTTCTACAAAGTAACTTCATATTCATAATCTGCGACCCCAAAAGCCCCCGAGTAACACGTTTTAAGGGAATCGGATCAAATTTAAAAATTTTTTCCGCCATATTGGATCCGCCATTTTGAATTTTTAAAAAGTGACTTCAGATTCGTAATCAGCGACCCTAAAAACCCCCGAGTAACAAGTTTTAATCGAATCTGATCAAATTTGAATTTTGTCCGCCATATTGAATTCGCCATTTTGGATTTTTAAAAAAAAACTTTAGATTTATATTCGGGAACCCTAAAAACTGATAAAGAATGAGTTACAGAATAATTTACCTCGTTTTTTGCTTTTAATTCATAAAAGTATTTTGAGATTTTTGGACCTTTTAACTTTTGACAGTTCTATTGGCATCGGAAATGGAATTTTGCAAAAAACGCCCATCGGCATCTTAAAGTACATGAACGTAGAAATCTTTTAAGCCCTAGAACGTTTAAATCCATCAAAGCAATTTTTGTTTAGAGCTCTGTCCGTGTTGACGTGGAATGTCCCTTATACATTTCAAAATTACATAATTGAATTTTAAAACTGTTTCGTTTAAAATTTTTATTAACTTGAAAAGATTTTAATTTGAAATTTTACAAAATTTCAATTTTCAATGAATTTTATTAGAAATTCTAAAGAATTTAAATTTTTGCAAATGTTTTCAAAATGTAAATAATTCTGAAATTAGTTAAATTTTTTAATATATATATATATTTAATAAATTATTAAAAATAATGAATTTATCGAGGAATTTTAGTTAAAAACACTAAAAAAATTGAATTTATAAATAATAAAATTCTTCTTCAAAATTCAATTATTTTCAAAAATTTTAATAAAATTCTTGGCAAAATTTCAATTATTTGCAAAAATTTTCCTAAATTCAATATCTACTATTTTAATAAAATTTTGCAAAAGAATTCAATTATTAATTTTTTTTATTGTCATTTTTGTAATTCTTACTACTCGAATAGAAAAACTAAACATGAATTTTCAAATTCTATGCAATGTACAGACAAAAGTCTGATCTTATTTATAAAGATTGAATTCTCGTAGAATTTTCTAATAGAAATTAATTTAAGTGAATTTCAGTTAAAATTTTACATAATAATAATTGAATATTAAAAGCATTGTAGCGTGAATTTTTAGAAATAATTGAATTTTGAAAAATTTTCCAAATTGAAATCTTTAAAAATCTGAATTTTTCATATTTTTAACTAACAATTCTGTAGAATTAATTTTTTCAAAAAGTTTAAATGAAAATAATTTTGAAGAAGTTACAGTAAAAATATTTTTTATAGTAGAAAATAAGGATCTTATCATTTGGTCATGTTTTATAATAATATTCTCATAAATTGTTGAGAATAAAAGAAACATTCAAATTCAAATCTTTATAGATTTGAATTTGAATGTTTTGAAAATCTTATTTCCTATGGAAAAATAATAATGATTAAATATTTAATAAACATTGAATTTAACAATCATTCCGAGTCAGGGGTATAAAATAAAACAACAAATGTTGTTTAACGTTTCGACAGCGCGGCTGCCCTCTTTAGAAACTATAATTTATTTAACAAAAAAAGAAAAAAATAATTAAATTAAAATACATTCTTAAAAATATGAAGTTAATAATTATAAACTTATTTTTAAACAATTTTTTACCGAAAAAATAAACAAAATTAGAAAAGGTTCCAAAAGGAACGTCTTTGTCGTGGCGATTACAATTGGACACTGGTAAATAAAATGTATATAATTCACGAAGTATAATTAACTGACGTAAGGTGAATGACCGTGTCAGTAAACGTTAAAAACGTCGAAACGTTAAACAACATTTTTATTTTATACACCTGACTCGGAATGATCGTTAAATTCAATGTTTATTAAATATTTATAACAACCGAGTGATAATATCATATTATAATAATTTTATAATAATGATTAAATATTTTTTTTAAAAGAAGTTATTGCTGTTTTCGAATAATTTTACAATTAAAAAAATTCGTAAATAAATGTAATAGAACATTTTTTTGAGTATCTAATCATTTTTAGAGTGAATCAGAATATTCATTAGGGAAAAAGTGAAAATTTTGTTGGTAAATTAGGGAAAAATAAAATAAAATTTTTGTGGCAACTCTAATTAAAATCAAATCAATTTTAAAAAATTTTATGGAAGCTATACGTTAAAAAAATTGAATTATATATATGAAAGTTGTATAAACAAATAAATTTTTATCCCCTTTTTGTCCTCTTTTTGAGAAAAAAATTCCCCTTTTCACCTTTTTTGAGGAGGAAAGATACTGTGGTGCCTGCCTTTTAACTCCTCTTTTCGAAAATCAGAGCTGATGGCCAATTTTTATTTACGGATTCTGAGAAACAGCTTAGACATTTGCCGCACCCAAATCAGTGTCGGCCTGTGTTATTGTAATTTTTATAAATTATTAAAATTCATAAATTTTAGGTACTCATTTTCCGTAAACTTTCATATTGTCCTGTAAAAAGAATTTTGTCAGGGAAAATAATTTTAATGTCAGTAAATTATCAGGGAAATTAATAAACTGAAACTTGTGACCACCCTGAATATATTTTTTTAAATTAGCGATATTTTGAAATTTTTGTTCAATTAGTAATTTTTTTGTCAACAGGTAGTGATAGATGGGGAAACGTGTTTGTTAGATATTTTAGACACAGCCGGACAAGAAGAATACAGTGCAATGAGAGATCAGTATATGAGAACAGGAGAAGGATTTTTATTGGTGTTCGCAGTTAATTCTGCCAAAAGTTTCGAAGTAATTATTATTTTTCTTCCTTTTATTGTTTTCTTTTCCCATTTAAACTATATTGTTCTGACAACTTGTGTTAAGAAAAAGTCTAATTTAAACCAAAATGATCCGTTTTGCAGGATATAGGAACCTATCGAGAACAAATAAAAAGGGTAAAGGACGCAGAAGAAGTGCCAATGGTTTTAGTAGGTAATAAATGTGATCTTCAACAATCATGGGCAGTGAACATGACACAAGCGAGAGAAGTTGCCCGACAATATGGGATTCCGTTCGTCGAAACCTCTGCCAAAACAAGAATGGGAGTAGATGACGCATTTTATACTTTGGTAAGTTGACAAGGTTGACACAGGTCAGAGATTTTTATTAATTCATTTTTGTGTTTTATTTTGTTTGCCTTATAAACTATAAAATTACCACGAATTTTAAAAAAACCTTCAAGTTTTTCTATTTTTGACAATAATTTATTTTAAATAACTTAAATCTATTGAAGAACTGCCATAAAGTTATTACTTGAAAAAATCATTTAATGAAGCATTTTTGTGAGAAATGTTAACATCAATTCTGTTGAAATTACTTACAATTTTAAAAATTTGAACGCTATTCTTTCAAAGAATTTAACTATCTTATAATAAATATCAAAATTCTTTCAAAAAATTCAATTATTTTCAAAAATTCGAAAAAAAAATTCTAAACATTTCAATTATCTTTATAAATAGCAGAATTCTATAGGCCAAAATTCAATTATATTCACACGGAAAGAAATCTGCTAGTATTATATCATTGGGCGACCAATAGACTTATTCCATCGGACTTCCACCACTACTTTTCAGGCCGAGTAGATGCTACACGGGGAAAAGAGAAACGTTGATCTAACAAACTGGGCCTACTTCACGGCAATTACATTGAATTAACACAGGTCCACCTGTTAAATCAACATACCACGATAGCTTTGCTTGACCAGAAATATGTCTGCTTGCGCATGCGCAGCGCGTGTGTAATTATGACTGATCAGCTAGGTTATGGCCGTATATGAAAATTGAATGATTAGCTGCATATATTTTTATATAGTCGTAAATGTTTTTAATGATTGTGGAAAATATCTTTCATAATGGATTTGCCAAGTGATTCATGTTTTAAATAATTATTTCTTAAATATTATTTATTTTGATGTATAAAATGATATAGTACGTTAATTCAACGGCTAATGGTAAAATGAATCAACACACCATCGCCTGACAGTAACTTTCGGAATCAAACTCACTTACGAGGACTCACTTACGAATCGTCAAAAGTTCAAAAAAGTTCTTTGTTTTCAGTAGACATTAACTTAAAACAAAGAACTTTTTCGAACTCACTTACGAGGACTCACTTACGAATCGTCAAAAGTTCGATGTTTTTAGCATTCGACATTTTTATCATTCGACGTTTTGAGCATTCGACGAATTGACAGTTCGATGTTCTGAGCATTCGACGTTTTGAACTTTCGACTACTTTACCATTCTACTACTTGGCAATTCGAACAGATGGCGTTTCGACTACTTTACCATTCTACTACTTGACATTTCGAACAGATGGCGTTTCGACTATTTGAGCATTCGACGAACTGACTATTCTATGTTCTGAGCATTCGACGATTTGAGAATTCGATGTTTTTAGCATTCGACGTTTTGATCATTCGACGTTTTGAACATTCGACGAATGGAAAATTCGATGATTTAAGCATTCGATAAGGCTATTCAAGTTGGGTGGGGGAAAATTCAAGATGGATGCTAACTGGTGCACAAACATTGTATAGAAAGTGTATGGGATAGAGTCTAATTTTTTAAATATCTCGCTTAAACGAAATTTTTAACCATAAGTTTATTAGGATTTTATGTTTCATTTTTAAAGAACTATTTTTTGCAATAATAAAAATCGATTTGATTTTTTTATTGATTTTATTATTGCAAAAAATAGTTCTTTAAAAATGAAACATAAAATCCTAATAAACTTATGGTTAGAAATTTCGTTTAAGCGAGATATTTAAACAATTAGACTCTATCCCATACACTTTCTATACAATGTTGGTGCACCAGTTAGCATCCATCTTGAATTTTCCCCCACCGAACTTGAATAGCCTTAAGGCCAACGCAGAATAGATCTGTAACCGGAACCGCAATCGTAACCGTAAGCGTAAGAATGAGTTAGAGAAGGATAAACAATATACCTATCCTTCTTTAACTCATTCTTACGGTTACGCTTACGATTGCGGTTCCGGTTACAGATCTATTCTGCGTTGGCCTTTATGAATTAACAATTCGCTGTTATTAGCATTCGAAGAATTGACGATTCGACGTTTTTATCATTCGACGTTTTGAACATTCGACGTATTGACAATTCGATGTTTTTAACATTCGACGAATTGATAATTCGACGTTTTGAACATTCGTCGTATTGACGATTCGATGTTTTTAACATTCGACGAATTGATAATTCGACGTTTTGAACATTCGACGTATTGCAGGGTGGCCACCGGACCTTGAAACCTTGAAAACCTTGAAATGGACGTGAATTTTGTCAAACCTTGAAAAAACCGTGAATTGGACGTGAATTTTTTTAAAAACCTTGAATTTTAGTATTACATATATATTATTAAAACTTAATAAAAAAAATTTTTGACCATTTTCAAAATTTTATTTTTTGAAAAAATTAAAATTTTTCAGGGTTGCCACAGGTCAGGAAAATCAGGAAATTCAGGGAAAATTCAGGGAAAGTAAAATTGGTCAGGGAAGTCAGGGAAGAGTCAGAGATTTTTATTTAAGTAACTGGAAAAAATTGAATTTTGGAGAAGTTACAAATGATTGCAGAAATTCAATTATTTTCAAAAGTAATAGAATTCTTCGCAGAAATTCAATTATGTTTGAAAATTAAAAAAAATTCTCATCAAAATTCAATTATCTTTAAAAATAATAAAATTCTTCTCCAAATTTCAATTATTTTCCAAAATTTTAATAAAATTCTTTGCAAAATTTCAATTATTCTCAAAAAAATTTTCTCAATTCAATGATTTTCAATATCTACAGTTTTAATAAAATTTTTAAAAAGAATTTAATTATTTAAAACAAAAAAATTTTGATAAAATTCTAAGCAAACTTCGCAATAATTCAATTATTTTCATAAATAATAACATTTTTACAAAAATTCAATTATTTTCATAAATAATCAAATTCATCATAGAATTTCAATTATTTTTAATACAATTTCAATTGAATTCCTCGAAAAAATTTATTATTCTATAAAATTTTGTTAAAATTTCTCGACAAAAATCAAATGTGTGGATAAAATTCTTTATGTTAATTTAGTTTCGAAAAACATTCATTTATTCAATAAATTATTTATTTTTGTATTTAAATAATTGAATTCTTGTAGAATTTTCCAATAAAAATTTATTTGAAAATGAATATTAGTTAAAATTTTAGATAATAATTGAATATTAAAAGCATTATAGCATGAATTTTTAAAAATACATAATTGATAAAATACATCATTGAATTCTTTCGAAGAATTTTAACAAAATTTTTGAAAATAGTGACATTTTTCGAAGAATTTACTCAAAATTGTATTAAAAATAATTGAAATCCTGTAAAGAATTTTATTAATTTATTATGAAAGCAATTGAATTCTTGCAATGAATTTTTTCAAATTTTTTTTTTAAATAATTGAAATAATGTAAATAATCTTATTATTTATAAAAATAATTGAATTCCTGCATCGAATTTTATTACATTTTTTTAAATAATTGAATTCTTTTGAGAACTTTTATTAAAAAAGTAGATTGTGGAAATGTTTGAATTTCAATGAAGAATTTAATTATATTCGTGAAATGTAATTAAATTCTTACAACAAAATTAAGAGAATAATTCCATTTTTCTAGGAATTTACTTTAAATTGTACTATAAATAATTGAAATCCTCAGAAAAATTTTATAATTTATGAAAATAATGGAATTGGCTTACAACGAATTTTATCAATTTTTTTTTAAATAATTGAATTCACGTGGAAAATTTTATTACTTGTAAAAATAATTGAATTTATGCAACGAATTTTATTACATTTTATTTAAATAATTGTATTCTTTTAAAAACTTGTATTAAAAATGTAAATTTTGAAAATTTTTGAATTTCAGCGAAGAATTCCATTATTTGTGAAATGTACCTAATTTATTTCTTGCAAAAAATTTTTGAAGATAATTTTATTCTTCGAGAAATGTTTTTAAAATTGTATTAAAAATAATTGAAAAAATGTGAAGAATTTTATTATTTATGAAAATAATTGAATTCTTGCAACGAATTTTATTATAATTTTTGTAAATAATTTAATTTTTTTTTGAAAAATTTTATGGAAATTAAAATTTTTATAAGTTGTTGAATTTAAAAATGTTTGAATTTGAATGTTTTGAAGAATTTTAATTCCTATGGAAAAATAATAATTAAATACTTATTTAAAAATTTAGTTATTGATGTTTGCGAATAATTTTACAATTTAAGAAATTAGTAAGTTAATGGAATAGAATGTTTTTAATAATTTTTAGAGTAAATCAGAATATTCCTTATGGTCAGGGAAAAAGTGAAAATTTTGTCTGGAAATCAGGAAAAAGTCAGGGAAAAATAAAATTAAATATTTGTGGCAACCCTGAATTTTTTAAAATCTATACGATTGATTGTTCAGAATCGTAAGAAAAGCCTAAAAAAATTCGGCAATAAAAAATAATAATAAATGTGGAAGTAGTTGATTTTTTTAAGTATTACTATAGTAAAATTTGAACCAACAAAAAAACTTTGAAAATTTCCTAGAAACCTTGAAAAAACCGTGAAATAGACGTGAATTTTATTCATGAGTTTTGGTGGCCACCTTGTATTGACAATTCGATGTTTTTAGCATTCGACTAAATGCCGATTCGATGTTTTCAGCATTCGACGTTTTGTCCATTCGATTATTTGGCATTCGACTATTTGATCATTCGATGACTTGGCGATTAGGGGATATGCATGCGTCTCAAGGGAAATGTTAGGAAAAAAAATTTTTTTATCAGTAAAGTCAGGGAAATGTCAGGAAAAATTTTTTTGTCAGGGCAATTAAAGAAATTAAGACGGTCATGCAATACATTTTTTGCTCTAAACAAAAAAATTTTTGTCATGGAAATTCGTTGTTATGTTAGTAAAATGTCAGGGAAATTGATAAAGTCAATCTTGCGGCCACCCTGTCATTGAAAAATTAAATTATTTTCATAAATAACAGTATTCATCACAAGAATTCAATTTTTTTTAAATTAATAAAATTTTTTGCAAAAATTCATTTATTTTCAAAAAATCTAAAAAATTGTCTTCAAAATTTCAATTATCTTTATAAGTGAATAGAAAATTTTTTTGACAAAATTCAATTATTTTCAAAAATTTTAGTAAAATTCATGGAAAAATTTCAATTATTTTTTTTATTTATTTAACCAGAATACGGGACAATCCCTTTCATACTTAGTGCTCTTACAATCTAAAAGTTGCAAACCTCAACCTATCTTATACAATATTAATTAAGTAATCTACGCTAGGCAGTTTTTGACTTAAAAGTCTAAAATAAACCTACGCAATAAAGAGGTGAATCTTAAAAACTTACTATAAAAAAAGTCAATAACATTTAAAAAGAATTAGCCTCTCTACTCAACTACTCCGTAGTTTGTTCGATGAAAGGATTCCAATAACAGTGTATAATTTCTAGTCACCCTTATGGGGACATATACATTAAATAATGATAGTAAATTAGGACAATTATTTATAATCTTATAAGAAAAGTCAAATCATTATGTTAATTGATAATCTTAATGTACTGTAGTCATGGGCGTAACTATCAAAAGGTACCTATATTAAATTGTCTTGCTACACAAACATTCAATTATTGTCCAAAAAAAATAATAATTTCACAGGAATTCAATTATTTAAAATAGAATTTGCATAATTTTTTTTCGAAAAAATCAAATGTTTTAAAATTTGGCATTAAATTCTTCGTAGTACTTAATTATTATTTTCATTAATTTTAAAATTCCTGTCAGGGATTTAATTATTTTCATAAATAATAAAATCATTCGAAGGAAGTCAATTATTTTCATAAATAACAATATTCATCAAAAGAATTCAATTATATATTTTCAAAATTAATAAATTTCAATTATTTTCAAAAATTTTAATAAAATTCTTGGCAAAATTTCAATTATTTTTAGAAATGTCTCTTAATTCAATAATTTGTATAAATATATCTATTATTTTCATAAAATTTCCCAAAAGAATTCAATTGTTTAAAAACAATTTTGAAAAATTTTTACACGAATATTAAATTATTTTCTAAAATAATGAAAATTCCACAGGAATTCAATTAATAAAAATAAAATTTGCATAAATTTTTTCAAAAAAAATCAAGTGTCTAAAACTTTTTGTAAAATTCTTTGCAATAACTCAATTATTTTCAAAAATAATAAAATTCATTGCAGAATATCAATTATTTTTAATACAATTTTAATCGAATTTTTCGAAAAATGTAATTATTCTTAAAAATGTTATTAAAATTCTTCGAAAGAATTCAATTATTTAAAAGTATGTAGATAAAATTTTGTATATATAGGAATCAAATTTTAAGAAATATTCAATTATTCAGTAAATTATTTTCAATAAAATTTCACGAAAGAATTGAATTTTTTTCTTAATTCGTTATATAAAATTTTTAAAAGAATTCATTTCTAAAAAAATTTTTAATAATATTTTTCGAAAAAATTCAATTATTTTCTAAAATTTTAATAAATTCTTCGAAACAATTAATTTTTTATAAGTAGTAAAATTCATCGCAAGAATTAAATTATTTTGTAGATAGATAGTTTTTATTTACTCTCCCTGCGCACAGCAGGGTTCGAGGATCCTTTTACAAAATAAAATTACAAAATCTTACAAGTATTTACATATATCCATAACCTAATTACAATTTTTCAACCAACACGCAACTTAACCTATTCTCATCACACTCATCCACTCAAAATTCGCCAGTGCCAGGGCTTCCGTTTCCAGTTCCCTTTGTCCATACTGACTGATTCCCCATTAACGCCCCACCCCTTTAAATCCTTAACCTTCATCTTCATTCCTATCCTTCTTCATTTCTCCCCATTCACCCGATCATCTATTCTAACCTCAAGCACTCGTTCATTACATTCTCTCACGCACCATTTTACCCCATCCACCCACACACATTGGCTGTTTTCGGCACTCGCCCCGAGTTAACTCCGGGTTAATGGTGATTGGTTAGACCAACATAATGTTTTTGACGATTGGATAATATTTAACTCGGGGTTAACCCTGGGTGAGTGCCGAAAACAGCCATTCCCTACCCATTCTTACTTCTCTTCCATTCCTTCTTTCGATCCATGCCTTCTCTCCCAATAACCATCTTATTCTCCTTTCCCTCCACGTTCTATCCTCATCTAGTCTCTCTACACATCCTTTCATCCTCATAACCTCCTCTTTCTCCTCCTCACTTCCCAGTTCTACTAACCACATCCTCGGAATTCCATTTGCATCCATACTCATCGCTTTCATCTGCCTAATATTAATTTTCACCCTTATCCTTTCAGCCAGTCTATCCACCTCTCTTCTTCCTTCACTTAAACCTGCATTCATACCCCTAATCATTATATTTCTTTTTCTTTTATCCTTTTCCATCCATTCCACTCTTCTTTCCAACTCATTCTGTGTTGAATTCAATTAACCTCAAAATTTTAAATTAAAATTATTAAAAAAACTACATTCTTTTGAAAAAAAACTCTAATAAAATTGTTTAATTTTCTATTACCTAATAATTTTAATAAAATTTTAATTAATTTTTTAACTGCGAACAGGTAATAACCAGAATACAACGATTATTAATATAGATAATAATTGATTTAAAGAAGAAATTTATTTAAAAATTGTAGGGTGAAGGAACCAATTGTCGAGTCGACACCAGTTTTCGAGTCCTGGTTATTCATAAAAAAATGTTTTATATTGTAATGTTAAATTGTTTTTCTTAAAAAAAATAATTTTATTTGCATTACATTCGTAATGTGACTAGTGTTATTTTACATCTAAAAACAGTATATTTTTTAATATTTAAAAAACTTCTTTAATACCATCAAATTCAGAAGAAAACAAAGAGTATATAACTGTTGATAATTACTTTATATGACTATTTATTAGTTTAAATAAAATTAATACTCGGTAACTGGTACTGAATTTTGATTGCTCTCCAATTGTCAATTTGTTGACTCGAAGAATGGGTTTGGCATATTTTATTATTTGACACCATTTTTCGATTGTCAATTAAAAACGTAAGGATAAATATTATCTGTCATTTTCGTAGGTTAATATATGATTAGGTTTATGTAAACATCATCTATTAACGTAAGAAATTTTCTTTAAATTAAATTTTTGATAGAAATCATTTTCAATTTAAAATTTATTTTTTTGGAAACATTTGTTATGAAATATAAATAATTTCTATTATATGACAAAACAAAAACGTCAACTGGGTCAAGAAATTGGTATTTGTGCCTCGACAAATGGTATTTTACAAACAATTTCTTTTATATTACTTATTTATAATTTATTTCTTTTAACGAAATTTTATCAAGTATACAAGCTTAGATACTCCTCTTACTTAAATCATATTTTTTAATTTACATGGATGGCCTTGATTTGTGATTAAAAAATGTGTAAATGTTGAACTGCACTATTTCCTCGACAAATGGTTCCATCACCCTAGATAATAATAATATCTGAATTGAAATGTTGAAAATAATTTTGAAGAAGTTGCAGTAACAACATTTTTATAATATGAAATTCTATCCTCATTAATTATTATAAGTTATTGAATTTCAAAAGGTTTGATTTTGAAATTTTGAAAATCTTCATTCCTATGGAAAAATAATAATGATTAAATATTTATTTGAAAAAGAAGTTATTGATGTTTTCGAATAATTTTACTTTTGAAGAAATTTGTAAATAAATTTAATAGAACATTTTTTTGAGTAACTAATAATTTTTAGAGTGAATCAGAATATTCTTTAGGACCAGGGAAAAAGTGAAAATTTTGTCTGGAAATCAGGGAAAAGTCAAGGAAAAACAAAATTTTTGTGGCAACCCTGGTTGGAAGTACAATGAGAATTATCACTTTTACCCGAAAATAGTATACATTATATTCTAACCTCCTTTTATTACTTTTAGGTTAGAGAAATACGAAAAGACAAGGAACACAGAGGCAAGGAGAAACGAAAACGAATAAGAGTTGGAAGTTCGGGACGTCGAAGGCCTAAGTGTTGTATTCTTTAGAAATAATCCGACTTTTTAATCATCATTGACCTGTCATTGATCTGTCATTGAGAAAAAAAGAACCAAGAAAAGGGACAGTGTAAATTTTCTTTTTCAAAATGGTGTTAATTTTGTGCGCACAATTCGTACAGCTTTATATCGAAATGCACAAACTTCTTTTTCGAATGGTACACACGCCAGGAAAAGGAATTCAAGATGAACCATAATGAAAAACATTGTACAATACAAACATACGTCTTCACTCATAGTATTAACTCTTATTAAATGATGAAAAAGAAAAAAATGCTTTTATGACTAAGAGTCATGAATGTTATGTTTAAGAGTCTTAAAATCGACACCTCAGTGTGATACAGTCCTATCTTCTGGTGATACTTAAAACTGTCCCATCTCGAGGTGATGTTTTGTACCGTGCTATCTCTAATTTGACAGATTGTAGTGTGAATAAAAAAAATAAATTACGGCACTTAAAATATTGATTACATTCAAAACAATTATTTTTTTATATTTTAAGAGAGACTTTTTATCATAACACTGCAGTGTTATGATAAATTTTTTTGTAACCCATGGGTTACAAAAAAATAGTCATATCGTGTTCATTCAAAGTTTCCTGTGTTTATTGAAAGTTTAGGTGTCACTGAATAAGAATATACCAGAAAAACTTTTTTTAATTCGGTCATTCCCTTAAAAAACGAGTTTAAAGTCTCAAAAAACCGTATTTTTAGCACTTTTTGAGGCAGCGTAACAAGAAAACGCAACATGATAAAAATCTCTACAAAAGCTTAAATAAAAGCTTAAACCTTCAACTTTAAGGCTCAGAACTGAAAAGTACTTAAATAAGCACTGAAAACCTCCTTAATTAAGCAGTCGCTACCTGAAATTGTCAAAAAAAGCTAGAACAGGAAGCAATTGGTAAAAATCGATTTCCCTAAACAAATTCGGTTGCAACTTGTTACTTGAGGTTTTTTGAGGTTTCTAATGACAAATTGGAACTTAGATTTAAAAATTTCAAAATAGCGGACTGAAAATAATGAATTCACTCAATTTTTCAAAATTTGCGTTGATAATTTTAAAAAATTGAGTCCGCCATTTTGACATTTTTAAATCTAAGTTCCAATTCGTCATTAGAAACCTCAAAAAACCTAAAGTAACAATTTGCAACCGAATCCGGTTAGGGTAATCGATTTTTACCAAGTGCTACCTAACCCAGCTTTTTTGATAATTTCAGATAGTGACTGCAGGTTTTCAGTGCTTATTTAAGTACTTTTCAGTTCTGAGCCTTAAAGTTGAAGGTTTAAGCTTTTATTTAAGCTTTTGTAGAGATTTTTATCATGTTGCGTTTTCTTGTTACGCTGCCTCAAAAAGTGCTAAAAATACGGTTTTTTGAGACTTTAAACTCGTTTTTTAAGGGAATGACCGAATGAAGATAGGACTGTTGTAAATATTACCAGAAGGTAGGACTGTATTACACTAAAGTATCGAAATGTGTTTTATATTCGTAGTAATCGACGACAGTGAATGTGACTTAACCCTTGATCAAAATAGGAATAATTTAGTCTGCTGCGAACAGTGATAATTTTAAGCCACAGCTTGCACAAATTGACTAAAAAAGCTTTATGTGATTATTGTATATTTTTTATACAAACCAATGTACAATTTTTTTTAATTAACTCCTGCGTTTAAGCAAATCGCTCTCGATTACATACTTCAAGAAACAATTTTTTCAACCTTCTTTGATAGAAGATTTCTCTCAAAGATTTCTATTTCTGTTTTGAAATAGACGAGCGATCATTTGATATAAAAATGCAGTTTTTTTACATTACATACAAATCTGACAATAATCTTAGCGATGATTAAGATTCAATTTTTTTAATTACCATACTCTGCGATGCGCTTTTTCTCAAGTTTTGCCATTAAGTATATTTACATTATTAAGCGATCAGGGGTTAAGACAGTAAAAAAAAAACAAATACAAATTGTACAATTCAGACAATTCTCTTTAAGTATATATGTATACATATATACGATAATACACGCAAATTTTTAAGGATAGTCTCTAACTAGAAATTCAATCGCACACAAAGAATACGAGATTTGAGTTAATCAGTTTTGCAACTTTTTTCTTTTCCAAAAAAACGAAAATTGTTTTTCGTTGAAAATTCTAAAGTTGCAAATTTTAACTTCATTATTTTTTTAAGGTTTTTATTAACAATTGTGACGATTTTTATTATTAATAATGATTTTAAATTTTTAAAAAAGGCTATTTTTCTGAAACATTAGATTAAAATACATAGAATTTTGATAAAAAATTGACAAACGAAATAAAACGTGCTGTTTATTTTTATTTTTTTTATCGCGAGAAGAAATAAAAAGAACAACTAGTTCCTTTTATCGATATATTTAATATCGAGTTGCAAAGACTGCGCTTTGAATTTTCAAATGATAATCGCGTCTGTTATAAGTTATAATAATTGTTATCTTGCGAATTTTCGGATCTAAAACGCCGAATGATCCGAAATTGTTTTAAGGTTTATTAAGGGAAAAAAACTTAATGATCTCCAAATTTTACAAATTGTAGATACGAAAATCTTATTGATATTTTTAAAAACAGTTTATAGAAACTGTTGATCAATTAATTTTTTTATATGTAAATGTCTTTCGACACAACAGTTCATTTTACACAGTTAATTTTAATTTTTATAAATCAAATCGTTCAATTTGTTATTAAACCAATTTGTGAAAATTTTTCCAAATATTATCATTATTATGAAATTTTATTGAATTTTGATTTTATATTTTAGGATTTATAGTTATTTTTTATGAATGTAAATAAAAAGTAAGTTTTATGAAAAATTCTACCAATGGGTTTGACTCAATAATATTGCTGCATGTAATTATAGTAATAACAATAATAATGAATAATGCCAGATTTAAAGTGAGGATTGTTTTCTTTTTTTGGATTAACAATTAAAAGAAGAAGATTATTTAGTTTACTTTAAAATGAGACTCAATGAATTATAAAAAATTTCTTAAATTAAGAAACACACTTTTTTTAATTTGTTAATGGTACTTGAATTAAGAAATTTTTTTGTTGTAATTCGGAAAAGTTCGTTGAATTAAAGTTTTATTGCAATGTATAATGAAGCAAAATAAAGTCTTGTAAAAACACTTTAATTATGGCAAATTGTTATATTTTAAATAATTCGTCTTCTAGGGTTTACTATTTTTTTAAAATCTTTTAATTAAGTGTAGATATCGTTTTTAATTATCTTTAATCGATGAAATGTCAAGTGTGAAAAAATTGTGTGAAAGTATTCGACTAAACACTTTGAAATATGTGTAAATCCTATTTCAATTTATGCTCATATTATATATAAATATAAAATAATTTTCCTCGATAAATTTCAATATTTCTTTTTTTGCATTCATTTTATGGAAAGTTCAACAAGATTATCTATGTTGGTCATATTTAAAGGCTTTTTAAAGAAAAAGTTATAGAAACGACTCAAGAGTGTAATAAATTACTCGTAAGAATAATAAATCAAGAAACGTTTGTACACGTATATATAAACATTTTTTACTGTTCCTGATCTTTTAAAACCGCCACAAACATTCAGTCGAATAGACATGAAAGTTTTTTAATGAATAAATAAGAAAGATTCATTTGAATATCAATTAAATTTGTTTGTAACGAATAATAAAACACTAACCTCCAAAAAATTTGTTAAACTCCCGCGCCCGCATTTTGCAGACTAAAGAAAAGTCGCATACTCATTTTTAACAGGTAATGCTTCCAAATAGTTATTTTCCTTTTCAATAGAATATGAAACACAAAAGTAATATTGATAAGAATTGCTATTACCCTATTTACCCAAGATTTAAAAAGAAATTAAACAAATAAATATCGCAATTTTAATTTTTACACTTTTATATTACCTATTCATTCACTATTATACGAGAAGTAGTAATAATTAATTAACTAACATTAGATTAATTATTATTTTTTCGTATCAAGGGCGCAAAATTTTGACCTTAAATATTCAGATCAAAATTGGATTTTTTCGTTTTGCGCCTGAGGAGACAAGTGATTAAAATCACCGAAAATCATGAAAGACTCTGTATTAAAGGTAGAATTTTTCACATTTTTGTATTGGGTCAGTCACTGACTTTCTTCTGAGAGTCGTTACGACCATATTTTAAAAAAATCTAATTTTCATATATGTGAAATTTCACATATATAAGGCTATTCAAGTTGGGTGGGGGAAAATTTAAGATGGATGCTAACTGGTGCACAAACATTGTATAGAAAGTGTATGGTGTGTGAGTCTAATTTTTTAAATATCTAGCGTTAAAGGAAATTTTTAACCATAAGTTTATTAGGATTTTATGTTTCATTTTTAAAGAACTATTTTTTGCAATAATAAAAATCGATTTTATTTTTTTATTGATTTTATTATTGCAAAAAATAGTTCTTTAAAAATGAAACATAAAATCCTTATAAACTTATGGTTAAAAATTTCGTTTAAGCGAGATATTTAAAAAATTAGACTCTATCCCATAAGGCCAACGCAGAATAGATCTGTAACCGGAACCGCAATCGTAAGCGTAACCGTAAGAATGAGTTAAAGAAGGATAGGTATATTGTTTATCCTTCTCTAACTCATTCTTACGCTTACGGTTACGATTGCGGTTCCGGTTACAGATCTATTCTGCGTTGGCCTTCAACCTACCTAGTAACAAACGTTTAATTGTAAAAGTACACTACCGTCGGGAATTATCGGTACGGCTGCACACGCACGGCCCAAAAACATACCAATCTTTAAATCACGATTTTTTTGTAAATACAAATGTCAGAAAATTAACAAATATACCATATTCGAAAGATTATTAAATACTACGATTAATGGTACATAACTGAAAATTTTAATAATTTTTACAAAGATTGCAGCAATCGACAAATTTGACAAAAAAATTTTAAAAATACAATTTTTTTTAAAATTTTTTCAACCCCTGCACATTTTTTTAAAATTGTAGAAAAAATTTGAAACTTACATACGTGTGATCATTCAAGTCTCATCTTTAATTTAAGACCAAATGAGTTTAAAAATCTTATTCGGTTCGTGAGATATCATTATAAACGTCCGAGCATGTTTTTTGACAAATGTATTGAATTAGTCGATTATGAACGGTTTTTGGCTGAAAATGCTCGTCCGTTTATAATGATATCTCGCTAACCGATTAAGATTTCTGAATTTTTTAGGTCTTAAATTAAAGATGGGACTTAAATGATCACACCTATATAAGTTTCAAATTTTTTCTGCAATTTTTAAAAAATGTGCAGGGGTTGAAAAAATTTCCAAAAAAATTGTATTTTTAAAATTTTTTTGTCAAATTTGGCGATTGCTGCAATCTTTGTATAAATTATTAAAATTTTCAGTTATGTACCATTAATCGTAGAATTTAATAATCTTTCGAATGGTATATTTGTTAATTTTCTGACATTTGTATTTACAAAAAAATTGTGATTTAAAGATTGGTATGTTTTTGAGCCGTGCGCGTGCAGCTGTACTGATAATTCCCGACGGTAGTGTAACTAAAAATTTTAAATGTTTACTTCAACAAATGTACTTAATATTGAGTAGAAGTAAAGTTTTTTAATATTTATAGCAACTTTTTAGAAAAATGTAATTAAAATGTGATGATTTTGACATTTCATAGGTAAGTTTCAAAATTAATATTGAGGGTTCACGTGCAATAAGGGGACGCGCAGGCTATTCGTTGTCCTCTCGCGCAGCCGCAGAATCGCTATACGCGGGGACTTTCACTTCCATGCGTATCCCCTTATTGCACGTGAACCCTCAATTTTTATCTATTATTTTGGGTATATTTACAAAATAATGTAATTATTCAAGTAAATTAGCACATTTTGAACAAATATCAGTCAAAAAATTGGTATTATCAAAATTATATTTTCATGTTTTTTTGTAAGTTTCACAGCTGTCAAAAAATTATGAGATTTTTTCAAAAGGAGTCCGCAACAACTTTAGGTGAAATATAATGGATTGACCCTAGAGGAATATTTATATGACGAGTAAGTATTTAAATAAAAACTTTATTTTTTAACATTTTAAAGTAATTTTCAGTAATTTTGTTGTTTATTTATATTTATGGTTAATGTTTCTTTTTTGACTGTAGCGCTTCAGTTTCGGTGGTCATTTCTGAAACATACATTTGCTTCAAAGAGCGAGACATGCATTTCTCTGCGAGTTTTTAGACCATTGTAACCTCTTTAGAATGACCCAGTTCGAGTGACAGATGGCAATTTCCATAGTCTGCTATAATTTTTAATAATAAAAATAAAATAATAAAAATGGTCGACGAATCCACGAGAAAAACATTAAGTAGTATTCCTTTATTACAAACTAAAGCAGGTCCTCGTGAAAAGGATTTATGGGTTCAAAGATTAAAAGAAGAATATCAAGCCCTCATAAAGGTAATTTCAAAATATGTTCCCATATGGTATAAATTCTTAACCTAATACATGTATTATTAATTAACATGTCGATTCAATTCTTGAATACAATATTGTTGTAATGAATAATTGAATAATATATACATATATTATATTAAATACAATTGTACTTAGTTATACTATTGAATAATATTATTAATTTTTTCAATATAATTTTATGATTTAAAAAATGTTTTTAGTATGTCCAAAATAACAAAGCTGCCGATAATGACTGGTTTCGTCTAGAATCAAATAAAGAAGGAACAAAATGGTTTGGAAAATGTTGGTATATTCATAATCTTCTCAAATATGAGTTTGAGATTGAATTTGACGTAAGTAATTTTATACATTTTATTTTTAAAAAAGAATTACTTTTTTTTAATATCAGTTTTAAAATAAATGTAAAATATATTAATTTCGTATAAAATCTTTTCAAAAATTTATTTGTCACAAACTTTAAATTTCTAAAAAGGGCAGTTGGGCCATTGGAACTTTTTAAAATAATTTTTCATTCTTTGTTGAATCTGACTCGGAGTAATGTTGTTATTATTTATTTTACAGATTCCTGTTACGTTTCCAACTACTGCTCCTGAAATAGCGTTACCTGAATTAGATGGGAAAACTGCCAAAATGTACAGAGGAGGCAAAGTTTGTTTGACTGATCATTTTAAACCTTTATGGGCCAGAAATGTTCCAAAATTTGGAATTGCTCACGCCATGGCTCTGGGTGTAAGTAAATTATTTTATTTATTTTCCTTTATTCGTTCAGAAATTTGTTATCCAAGTCTAAAATTTATTTTTCATTTTTAGCTTGGACCATGGCTTGCGGTTGAAATTCCTGATCTCATCGAAAAAGGTGTTATATGTCACAATGATAAAATAGATCAAGGAAAATAATTTTGTTAACCCGTCAGCAGTTGCGCCTTTTTTAGTGTCTCACTTGCACTCTAAGAGCGCCCTATAGGTCGAGTAGTGTTGCGTGAGACTTTTTCTCACGGCGCGACCGCTGACGGGTTAAATTTACTACTATATGTACATATTCACTATTTTCTACTATAAAAGTTAGTTTATTTTCTTAACTTTTAATATAATAATAAAAGATCATTATAATATTTTAGGTCAGTTTTTTTCCTACAAATATATATTAAGTTTATTTTTCAATTTGTACATTATTTACAAAAATTCGTGATGAAAATTATTTGTCGTTATCGCCAAGTTTGATTTTTTTCGTTTCTTTGATAATTTCATCTAGTCTGTGAATATCTTTTAAAGATATTTGCCCTGTTCCTCGTTGTAATGGTTTTGGTTGCGATGGATCTGGTTTCCACCCAATCATATAAATAATTTGAAATGTCGCTGGAATATATTTTGAAGCATCTTCTTTTGTTTTACCATATAATTGATTATAAATTGCTGCAGCAGCCATCATAATGTCTCGATTTAAATGTAATTTTCGATTCCTTGATGCGTTGTTTTCTGCCATGCCTTGAATTCAATCAATTATTAGATTAGATTCCAAAACTGTACGAGAGTTTGTGAAACTTACAAACCTTTTAAATCCCACATAAGTTCGAACATAGTTGGGTAACCAACGATAATTTCATCAGTGTCTATTGTTAACATTGTGAATCCTGCCCTCGTCATTAGAGCTCCAATGTCTCTAATTTCTGCAAAAGGAGAAATATGTGCTGCCACTCCACCTGCTCTTTCCAGCTCTGCTAATTGCAATGATCCTCTAATTAAAATTGGTAAAATTTTATTACAAATTTCTTCACGTCTGAAATTTTATACATTAAGATGTATAAAATTGTCTTACCTTAGTTCGTAAAGTGAATCACTGCCAAACATTGCACCGAGAAAAACACCATCCGGTTTCAAGCAATTAATTATCTGACTAAAGCATCTCGGTAAATCGTTAACCCAATGAAGACTCAAAGAACTGACAATTAAATCTAAATTATTTGGTTCAAGTGAAAAAGTTTCTTCATCCATAACTTGCTTTTGCACTTTAATTAATTCATCGGTTATATTAGCTTGCTCCAAAAAACTTGGGCTCAAATCTGATAATATTACCTCTTCAATTGAATCACTGGCCATGTGTTTGGCTACATGTCCTCTACCACAACCTAAATCAAGAGCTTTTTTAAATTTTCTTTTAATATCGAAAATTTTATCTGACAATCTATAGCCTACTTCATCTTTGAGATAGTCATAGGTTTTTGGATTCGGCATTTTTGCTGCACGTTCTCTTTGAAGTAATTTTGCATTTCTATCGAACACGTGCATAACACTGTTTGCTGGTAAAGCCAAAACATGTCCCGATAGTGTTAAATTTCTAATAATGTGATTTTGTTGACATAATTGGCTTGAAATTATATTGTTGAGGTTAATTCGAGTCTTGTTTTGTTTGATTTTTTTTAAAGCACTGTATGATGAAGGTTGACAAAGCTTTAGTAGCATTTTGAATATCCGAGGAATTTATTGTTTACTTTGTAAATTACGGTTTCAATGATTTTAAGTTAATAACGAACTAATTTCACTTGGCTAAACAAGGTTATGTGATAATCACGGGCGTCGCCATATTTAAAATTCTCATGATTGTCCCCTGTAACAAGGCAACCAGTTGGTTTCGTCTGTTCGTGCCACGGTTGTTAAAGCCTACTTTTAGGGGCGTTTAATATTTTATTGACAAAATATATCAGTTGATTGTTTACTATACTTTAAAAACAAAAAGTCAATAATATAACGAAGATGTAAATTGAAGTGTAAGTAAAATTTTTTTATTTTATTTCTATTTCAATTTACAAAAGGCATTTTCTTTTATACTTTAATTTTTTTTTTAAATATTATATAAGTTTATATTTGTTATCATTTCATGGACACTTTATATTTCCTCGCGGAAACTGATATTTTAATAATTATCACAAGAATGTTGGTTTTTCAAAATTTTTGATTCTTTGAGACTTTTGAAAAATAGTCCAAAGTAAGTCCAAACAAAAGTGGTCAAAAGTAAAAGGCATGCGATGCGTTTTTTAATAGGTTGCATTTATTTCGCTCACCTATCAAAATAAATATGTTTTAGAACTCTCGCTGATTTGGTAGCAATAAGTATGCATCTGATTCAATCACCCAGATATGCATGGCCAGCCCAGAGCTATAAAATACCCAAACATATTTTCATGTTTTAACAGATGTTATTTTATATAGCTTAAAGAATGAATATTTCCAATTTTAAGAAACCCGAAAGTATTTCTAAAACATCATAAACTTAATCTGGATTAAGAAAATGTGTTTCTTATAAAATCTAAACTCTTCGATTTCTTCCAAAATTATCTGTTTTTCTAACACTATGTACAATTGTAAAATATACCCAAAAAGTATACTCCTTTAGAAAGTCATAAAATCAGAACAGCTTAGTTTTATAGACCAGATCCTCTATTCAGGTAATATCTACCGAAATGGTACATCTAAAAACTTTCGATCCTTTTACCTTAAAAATTGTCACGTATTGGAAAAACCCAATTTAACATTACTTTTAGAAATGATAATCATTCTAATAATTTTATAAATAATCTCAATTTATGTATTTCACTATTTATATTAATCTAACATTTAATCAATTATTATAATTATTAATGAGGTGACATTTGTAAATAAAATACTTTCAAGATTTATAGTTTAACAATTAATTTGTTATAACTATCATGACTATCAGCGCTGTATTATTTTATACAATATTTACTATAATTGTAAACGTATGTGTGTGTGTTGTATATAAGAGTAAATATGCTTGTTATATATATACTAGTTTATTATTTGTATATAAATTAAATTATTGAAAGAGTTATAGTATGATAAAGATAACGAATAATATTATTATATTAATAGTGTAGATTTCCTTCCGAAAGTTTTTAATGAATTGCAAGAATTTTGATCCATGGAAGGTAAAAATAACATAAAAAATAAATTTTATGGCATATTTTTTGTTTATTTAAAAACAGCAACGTTTCGATGACGTGGGTTTCCCTATTGAAAATCCCCATATGGGAAACCACATGGGATCCTATGTCAAAAACCATGTTAAACCCTACTTCCATGAAGGAAACCACGTGGTTTACCATGTGGTTTCCCATGTCAAACCATATGGGAAATTGAGACAGGATTTTAGTTAGGAATAGACATGGGGAATTTGAACAGTTCATCCATGCATAAAACCATATCAAATCCCACATGTTTTTCCCAGTCAAATCCTAAACCGAATCCCATGTGAAAAACAGTATCATTTATTTATAATTATTTTCCCAAGTCAATCCCCAAGTGAAAAACAGTATCATTTATTTATAATGATTTTCCCATGTCAAATCCTAAACCAAATCCCATGTGAAAAACATTATCCGCCTTATTGAATATCCCTACATGGGAATCCACTTGGAATTATACAAGGGATTTCACATAGGATTTTATATGGGAATTGACATAGGATTTCATGCAAGATTTCACCTAGGATTTAATGAGACATCACAAAGTATTTTATTAAAGATCCAATGAAGAAATTTTCAAAGGATTAAAAATTATTTAATAAAAAATTAAATAATAAATAGTATTAGTGTTACAAGTCATCAAAAAAGTAAAAAAACGATCATTTGAAACACGTCCTCTCTGCTACAGGTTCTCAGCTTTTATATACTTCCAGAATCGTCTCAACAGCGAGAGAAGTCACTTTCGCCACCTAGCGGTGAAAGTATAGGAGCGACAGTAATCTTTAACATTACTAAGGAAACCATGTGGAATACCACGTAGGATTCCATGTGGTTTCCTACGTGGGGATTTACATGGGATTTTACTTAGGAATTCATTTGGGAATTTATTTCTACTTAAATTCCTAAGTAAAATCCCATGTAAATCCCCACGTAGGAAACCACATGGAATCCTACGTGGTATTCCACATGGTTTCCTTAGTAATGTTAAAGATTACTGTCGCTCCTATACTTTCACCGCTAGGTGGCGAAAGTGACTTCTCTCGCTGTTGAGACGATTCTGGAAGTATATAAAAGCTGAGAACCTGTAGCAGAGAGGACGTGTTTCAAATTATCGTTTTTTTACTTTTTTGATGACTTGTAACACTAATACTATATATTATTTAATTTTTTATTAAATAATTTTTAATCCTTTGAAAATTTCTTCATTGGATCTTTAATAAAATACTATGTGATGTCTCATTAAATCCTAGGTGAAATCTTGCATGAAATCCTATGTCAATTCCCATATAAAATCCTATGTGAAATCCCTTGTAAAATTCCAAGTGGATTCCCATGTAGGGATATTCAATAAGGCGGATAATGTTTTTCACATGGGATTTGGTTTAGGATTTGACATGGGAAAATCATTATAAATAAATGATACTGTTTTTCACTTGGGGATTGACTTGGGAAAATAATTATAAATAAATGATAATGTTTTTCACATGGGATTTGGTTTAGGATTTGACTGGGAAAAACATGTGGGATTGGATATGGTTTTATGCATAGATGAACTGTTCAAATTCCCCATGTCTATTCCTAACTAAAATCCTGTCTCAATTTCCCATATGGTTTGACATGGGAAACCACATGGTAAACCACGTGGTTTCCTTCATGGAAGTAGGGTTTTACATGGTTTTTGACATAGGATCCCATGTGGTTTCCCATGTGGTTTCCCATATGGGGATTTTCAATAGGGTTGTCATCCTCTTGTTATGTAGGTGAAACGAAACGTATGTTAAAAACCCGCATTGACGAACATAAGAGAAGTAATAATTCTAATACATCCGTTGTGAGTGCACATCAGTCAAGGCCGGGTCATGAATTCGATTGGGACAATACTATTATTCTTGACCGTGAATCTAATTACAAAAAACGTTGTTTTCAGAAATGTTACACGGAAAGAAAAAGTCCGTCAATCATTAATAGACTAGTATATTACTTTGAGACGGGACACAAAATCATTGAATGGATAACATACTTTGAGTCACAATCAGTGACGAGTTGCTTGCCAAAATTTAGAAAACTGTCATCAATATATAAAACTCGTTCACTAAAATTTAGAAAACTGTCTATTAAATTTTCTATGACTATCAAAAGCATTCAAAAAATTCAACTTCTTTCAGAATTATCCCTAATTTTAGACACTATTTGGTACAGAATGAACACATTTTTTTCGTTGCACAGTTCCGATATTTTATTTACACTCTTAGACGCTTTAGACCAACACATTTTCCAACACATTTTCGCACTTATAATAACTACACGTAGAAACGCACACTTATAACACTTTAAGTTTAGAAGCGAACTGTTCTTATATACCAAATAACAAAATTTTTCACAACTTGTGAGAAATGATTTTGCACTAATAACTACTTTTTAATTAGCGAGAAATATAAAAGAAAATATATTTTCATCGAGGTCAATTTCTAGACGCAATTCAACTGCAAATTATTAGTTAAGTTAAATATTCACATTACACATAATAGTATATAGGGATATGTATAGCAGACAGCAAAAACACATGGACTATAGAGAAACCGGAAGAAATGCGCATCGGTACACTGCGCAACAATGCGCTAGTGAAGAGCGCCGATTTAGAATACGAGTCAACTAACGTTTCACAAACTTTCACTAATGATTCGTAAACATTCAAACAGCCATTGATAACAATTCAGCATTAAATCTAAAACAATTGGTCACATACTGGCATTCTAATCAATCCATGACTCGTTTTCAATCGTTAAGTAAAGTTAAGTAACCATCAACGGAAAAAGAGTCCCGTCTCAAAGTAATATACTAATCCATTAATGGTTGACGGACTTTTTCTTTCCGTGTACACATAAAAAGTAACAAACACACAATCAACAAGAAAAATGACATTTTATATTTAAATAAATCTTATTTTCCTATAATAAGAAAATTGAAATCATGACCTAGCTTTGATATACACTGTATTGTTTACACTTGAGTTCATTGACTTCAACGGCAATGCCTTAGGTATTTTAATTTGTATTTTCGTTTAGTTTTGATAATTCGCTCGTCGTGAAATGTACATATTTATACCATCTGACTAGTTACTATGTAACTTCTTAACTTATTTTAATTTTTTACTAGGTAATTTTTTAAAAATTGTTTATAAAAATTATAGTGTGTGTTAACTTTTATTTTTTATTATTTTTTTAATTGGTGTATTGTTTTAATTAGCCTGAAGAGGATGACAAACCCACGTCATCGAAACGTTGCTGTTTTTAAATAAACAAAAAATATGACATAAAATTTATTTTTTTATGTTATTTTTACCTTTCATGGATCAAAATTCTTGCAATTCATTGAATAATATTAATATGACAAATGTGTCTGTATTTACACCAATAAGTATGACGTATGAGACTGTATTTGTGTTAGTGAAGTGCATAAAAGTGTATAGTAAAGTGGGGGATGCGCGTCACTTTGAACATGCGCACTTCCCTCAACATGGACTAACAGCTGAGAACAACTCTGCTAGACTATAACTACAAGACTATAAGTTAGATCTAAGTTGACGGTTGACTGACAAGGTTGCTTCGTTTGTTTCCTTAGTCATTTTGTACTCTTGAACTTTTTATTAAATAAATTATTTGGGTTTACTCTCAAGAGGACTGATTTCCATCAATAATTAATATTATTAACTAGCAGAGCTACGCGCGCTAAAGCGCGCGCGATATTTCTACTTTTGTCTTATTATACTTAAGACCTTATT